ACACACACACACACACACACACACACACACACACAGCTTAAAATCTGCAATGCAATGAGTTACTTAATATGGCTCTTGTAGCCATAGCTTTTGTTACTCCCAGCAATTGACTTTCATTTTCTTGATGGTTCTAGTAAGAAGGTATAAGACGTTGACTGTATTATAAGATTTAGCTGTGAATAACTATCACTTTGCTGAGTATAAAGTAGGCCATGTGAGAAGCAGTAAGTGGAGATCTCACTACCTGAATTGTAACAGTTAACTTTCATAATAAACCTCACAATCTTAAGGAAGGGAGAAAAAGAAGGGGTAGATGGAATGTGAGAACTCACAGAGAAAAAGGGAGTAGTACAGTTACACTGAAGGAACTGTAACTAATGTCACAAAGCAAAATGTGTATAAACTGCTGAATGGAAAACTAATTAGCTCTTTAAATTTTCATTTAAACCACCATTAAATGATAACAAATTAAGTATAACATATATGTTCTTACAACTTATCATTAACAACATACAATGGTTGGAATATATATGGGGACTTAATAATTAACACTGGATATAAAAGGATGAAAATGACTATTAAATAAGCTTATTTGATTACTAAAAAAAGACTTTAGTAGGGCAAACAACAATCTCAATTGATCTATTAAAATGATTTCAACAAAAAATTTTTATTAACTGTGTATGTAACCTCCGCATACTATACTTGACACTGTTTTTAAGGAAAACTTATAGGAAATGAGATTTGTGTGAAATTAAAGTTAGCATCTATTTTAGACTCTTATGTGCCATTAGCAAACAATACCTAGTGTGCCAATAACTTGCAATATTAGTATTGTGAGAATATTATAATAGAAGATAATAAAAAGTGAGGGTCATAAAGGAAAAGGGGCACACAGGAGAAAATAATAGTACGTTGCCCTTGAAACACGGATTCTTTTGTTGCTCCAAGATGCCAATAACAAAGAACACCCATCCCTGGGTCACAGGCTCACTTGAGAAATGGCTATACATGTAAAAAAATGCTTTTGCTGGATAATAACAAAAACTTACATCTAACTCAGTGCTTACAGTGGAACGGGCACTGTTTTCCAGATTGATTATGTTTTCATTCTTTTAATTATTTATATACCGTTTCCCCGAAAATAAGACATTGTCTTATATTAATTTTTGCTCCCAAAGATGCACTAGGTCTTACTTTCAGGGGATGTCTTATTTTTCCATGAAGAACACGGTACACATTTATTGTTTTATTAAAAGAGACCTCACACTTCCTGTCTGCTCTGGCTGCACTGCGGCCAACAGTGAGCTCCGCGGCTACAGTCCAGAGTCACGGTAGCTTTGGGGGGGCTTATTTTCGGGAAGGTCTTATTTTCGGGGGGGATGCCTTATATTTCAGTGAGAGGCAAATCTTTAAGTCTTATTTTCAGGGGATGTTTTACTTTCAGGGAAACAGGGTACTACCCACTAAGGAGAGAAGAATATTTTGGTTTTTTTTAATTATAAGAGTTCATCTTTTTATACATGTTTTTTTAAAAAATTCCACTGAGTGAAGGAGCCAAAAACTATACTCAGCACTCACCCACACTTTACCTTATTTAATCTTTATAACTCAGTAAGGCAGTAGTTACACTGTATTATCTCCATTTTACAGTAAATACATTTCTCCCAGGGTCATCCTGGAAATCAAATTAAAATTCCAAACCAATCTAATTATTTTTCTTTCATCATGACTGGGTTTCAGTTTAGCTTGGCTCAAGATAAACTCCTGAATTTTTCATTCATTACCAAGTCAAGGTTGGTATTTGGTATTACTAAAAATGTGCATTTTTAAAGCTACTTTTTAAAAAGTCTTATTTGCAGATATATTCCCTAGATTCACATTTCATATTAGTAGCACACTAACCTATCATTCAACTAATAACATGAACTTTTATAGAATAAGGTGTAAGACACTCTTTCTCAAGTGACATATGTATGTATCACGGTACATTCAAGTGAATAAGAAAAACCCTACTTAACTAAACCAATACGTTAAAGTCAAGTAGGCATTTCAGCAGTAATCAGTAGCTGCTGATGCAGCACTAGTGTGGTTAAAAGGGTTCCTGCCTCAAAGCCATGCAATCTAATTAGACAACACTGCTAAAGAACTCTGGGGCAAAGGAACCAGAAGGAAAGGATCATGAGTATTAACCAAATGACCATCAACTTAAGCTTGATCTGGTTCTTCAAGGTTGAAAAAATATAAAGTATGACATAGAGAAAACAGAGCTCATAAAAAGTGCCACCAAAGAACATATGGAAATCTAACAAAAATGAAGTAGAAATAGTTTGCATTAAGTAATGCAAAATAATCTGTTATTTCATTGCACATACAGTGTTGTGGCCTTTTCTCCCTTACGTAGATACAAAGATTATTCACACATAAATTCAATATGAAATTAATCAAAGTAAAAGTGATTTCAATGACTTGATAGGCCTGTTAATAAATTTTCTAGCTGTCTAGCAACTTAATGCCATTAATTCTCTCTACCCTCTATTCAAGTGAATATAAGAATGTATTACTTCTACTCTAGCACAAATTCTAAGAGTTCTAATTTTTAAAATAGGTTTTATAATACTATTACTCAGCCATTCTCCCTTCAAATTCTCCTTGCTTCTACATCAGTGGTTCTCAATGTAAGGCTGCAACCCTTTAATACAGTTCCTCATGTTGTGATGACCCCCCAACCATAAAATTATTTTCATTGCTACTTCATAACTGTTATTTTGCTACTGTTATGAATCAGACGACCCCCACAAAAAGGGTCACAGGTTGAGAACTGCTGTTCTACATTAACAAACAAGTGATATACTTATAACAGGGAAACAACAAAAAACAAAAAGGATATTCTTAAAGAAACAGGCAGCTAAACAATGCCTATTCTAGCTGAAACTCAGAGATTAATGCCATGTATTTCTAAGATCACTTCTTTTGTCATTCCTATCATAATCTAAAGGGGCCTTGGCCGTGAGTTACATATTAGCTTGCTAACTGCAAGGCCAGCAATTTGAAACCACCAGCAGAAGATGAGGCTTTCTACTCCTGTAATGATTTAGTCTCTGAAACTCATAGGGGCAGTTCTACTCTGTTTTATGGGGTCTCAATGACTTGATGGCAATTTTTGATTTTGGATCATGCTAAAAACTGCTTTCACCTCTCATTGTAGATTATCTAAATATGAAAAAAAGACTTGTGATATAAACAGAAAATTCAATATCCTATTTTAAAATCATTTAAAGAATCAAGAGTTTAATGAAGCTTAATCTTTTAAGGAGCCCTAGTTGTATAATGGTTAAGCACTTGGTTGTTCATCAAAAAGTTAAGCCGAACCAGCCACTCTAGGGAAAAAACAGATATGGTGGGGCAAGAGTCTTGAAAAGTCTTGCTATCAGGCAGAGACCATTGTAATCCTGATTATGTTGGATTGAACTCAATACTTGGCCAGTTGACCACCCCGTAGAGCAGCCTGAATTTGTTCTGGGTGCAAGTATCACTTACTTGTACCATGACAGAAATTTCTACCCTGCCTTTTTGAATGTTGACGGGGGTCTTTTTTTTCTTAGTCATTATTTTTATTATTATGATTTTATCCTTACCACCTTATTTCTATTTTAAAAAAATTTTCTGTTGGTTTTCAGTTTGTGAAGTACAGGAGGAGTGGATACATTGTGATAATAACTGATAAAAGGGGTTATGGGGAATGTAGGGGTGGCGGGGAGTATACAATGATGGCAGGAGGGGTTGGGAGCACTAGAACTGATTGTGAATGCACAACTCATTTTAAAGGAACTTTAACCATTGGAGGAGGTGTTCTAAAATTGATGTAATGATTGTATAATTCTTGTTATGATTGAACGATTGATTGTATGATATGTAAATTGTGTGCCAATAAAATTGTTGGGAACAAAGAAAAAAGATGTGGTGGTATGTTTCCACTAAAATTTATAGACTTGGAAACTCTATGAGGAATTTTCCCCTTTCCTCTAGAGTCTTTGAATCAGAACGGACACAGTAATAGATTTCCCCCCCCTTAATCTTTACTCTTAATGGCTCACTAAATAAATATACTAAAGACAGGTTACCACAGAGATTAGAATTCTCCATGCTACATTTTTTTTTTGTCTCCAGACTACTGCCTATTCTCAGTAAAATCTCGATACCAAATAACATTTCTTCTTTTCATTTTTATCCAGTAAGTATACTGAGCAACATATTATAAGCAAGAGCACTGAACATACACTTACTTTTCAGCAAAATCTTCACCTCACCGTTTTCTTTTTTGATCTCATTCATTACTTTATGTTTCTTCTTCTCCCTCTCTTTTTCTTTTTCTCTCTCTTTGATTTTGTCTTTGATTTTATCTGAAAGACAACAAAAAGATATGGGATTTACAATTATTACAATATTGTTTTTCTGCAGAAGCTATTATACAATTTCAGAATGGAAATAACTATGCCTACTTTTAATCCACTCAGGTTGTAGGGAATAAGCAATTCTAAATTTTTTTCATAAACTGAATAGAAATTATACATAATATATCATGTATTTTTGAAAATTGTTTAAATTTCATTTACATGATTATTCTTCACTGACTTTGTATCAACTTTTAAAAAGTGGCAATCTTTAAATGAGGTAGCAAACTATAGTAGAAAAAGCCTGAAAGTTGAATTTAGGGTTATCTGGACTTAAAACATTGAAAAATCTACTGAATCTCACTTTTCTAATCTGTAAATGGTGTTTGATATTTTATAACTCTAAGAGTTAATATAAAAATTAAATGAAAGACCTAAAATAACTACTTAGGGCCTAGTACAAATAAAACTAGATATTTAACTCTTATACTCTTAAAAAAAGAATATGACTGATCTGGCTGCCTGGTGTAATATTAATATAAAGAGACATCTAAGAATCATTCACCTGTATTCTGAACATTCAAACCTTATGACAAACAATGGACTTTGTCTGAAAAAACAGAACAAACTTCAAGACTTAGGTTCCCCTAGCAAGACAGAGTGACATTAAAACCAAGTTGATATCTTCTCCCTAAAATGCTTAACCTAAATTGAACCAGAAAATACAAAATAACTTTTGAAAATAAAAATAGCAAAGTTGAAAATCTCAGAGGGTTCAAGATAAAGTTGATGTAATCTTCCAACAAACAAATCAACAAGAAATGAAAAATAAGGTGAAAACAAGGTGACCTGGATGGTCTGTCTATTCAAGGATTCCACGATTAAAGTAATTAAAATTTCAGAAAAAGGGATTGTATAGAGAACATCAATTAAATAATAGAAGAAAATTTCCCAGGAAAGGTGTCCCTAGATTAAAAGATTTAACCATAGGTGAATACAAAAAAATGCAAGCCCCACCTTCTACACATTAGGTACACCATCATGAAATTTTTAAACACCAAGACAAGGTTTTCTACTCCTGTAAAGAATTACAGCCTTAGAAACCCACTGAGGCATTTGTACTTTGCCTTAGAGGTCACTATGGGTAAGAAAGGACTCGATATATATATATATATATATATATATATATATATATATATATATACACATAGATGTACAGAAAGAGACATAAAGGAGGAACTCTGGTGGCATAATGGTTAAGTTCTGAGCTGCTAACTGCAGGGTCAGCAGGTCTTGCAACCACCAATAACTCTGTAGGAAATAGATGGAGTTTTCTGCTCCTGTAAAGAATTACTCTCAGAAACTCACAGGGCCAGATCTCCCATGTCCTACAAGTCAAAATTCACTCGATGGCAGTGAGTGAGTGAAGGTATATAGAAAAGATTCTAAAAGCCTTGGGGTTGGGGTACAGATCACACATAACAGATCTGGTACCAGTATGCAACTATACTCCTCACAGCAACTGTAGATGCTAGAATATTAACTTTAAGATTGTACGTGAAAATAATTTCTAACTTAGAATCCTAGAGTCTGTCAAGCTATCAATATATCAAGGGAGAATATATGTAGACAAGCAAAAGTTAAAATTTAACACACACACACACACACACACACACACACACACACACACTTTTAGGTAGTTACCTGAGAATGTACTCAAGTAAATTAAAGAGTAAAACAAAAAAGGAAGAAGACGTGAGTGAGATCCAGGAAACAGGGATCCACACAAAAGACTACATAAGATACATCAGGAGAAAGGCTGTACAGTTAGTACAGTTAGGTGTCTTAAATATCTAATGCTGGTATAACAGAAATACAAGTGAGGGCGTTAACAAACAGAATTTTATTCTCTCACAGTTTAGAAGGCTGGAAGTCCAAATTCAGGCTACTGGCTACATACGAAGGCTTTCTCTTTCTGCTGACTCTGAGGGAAAGTTCTTGCCATCAATCTTTCTCTTGAGTCCAGATACTTCCCCAGTGCTAGGACCCCACATCAAAGGGCATGTTCCACTCCTGGCTGCTCTTTCTTGTTGGTTGTGAGTTCCTGCCTCTCAGATTTGCTACTCTCTCTTCCAGCCTTTTACAAAACATGATGCAAGGCACATCCTTTACACAGGATCAGAGCAGTGGCCTGAGTCAGGATGTTACACCACCCCCTAATTCCTTTATATTGGATCGGTGATGGTCACACATCACTTTACGTCACAGGGGATGATTACACCATTACGTAACTGCCAAACCACTGAGAATTATGACCCAAATAAGCTGATGCATACTTGGGGGAATACAATTCAATCCATGATAGAGTGTAACCAGTTCAGGAGGAAGTGGAGGAAAGGAGTACTATAAAAATGTGATCTACAGAAAAAAGGAACTTTCATAGTACCTCTTATCACAAAATACAACAAAGTGGCAGAAAATGTTATGTACTGTATAGATTCGTTTATAAGCCGAGCTTTCCAAGACATTTAAAATGCAGTTTTTGTGGTAAAATTAGGTGCTTTGCCTGATATTCAGGTCAGCTGATACTTGAGTATATATGGTCATTAAAATATGTAATTGGAAAAAAGAAGCAACCCTTACCTATACAAACACCAAGATTTCTAAACAGAAAAGGATCTCTGAAGTGCCACTGAACAGTGGTTGCTGTGTCATAAGCAACCCTGGTGACATATTAGGCTGTGTGCTGCTAACCTCAGCAGTTTGAGCCCACCAGCCACTCCATGGGGAAAAAAATGAGGCTTTCTGCTCCTGTAAAGGTGGTACAGCCTCCAAAAACTCATAGAGGTCATTCTAATCTGTCCTAGAGGGTCACTATGAGTTGGAATTGACTTGATCGCAGTAAGTGTGAGTTTGTTTGATTGAGTTAACAAAGATTTGTACAATTATATAAAAATATGGAAAGAAATGCTAATTTTTAAAAGGGCTAAATTCTTATGTATTTTTAACAATATGAGCAGGAATGAAAATTTTCCACAAAATTTTTAAGCACCTTTGTACAATATGTACCTACCAGAGAGCAATAAAATTGATTATATTGATCAATACAATCAATAATATTATTTTATATAAAATATGGAATGAAAACAGATGAAAGTCGGATTTGGGAAGCGGTAGAAAAAACTAGAGATTACTTATAATACTTTCAGTATTGATTTTTTAAATTAAATTTTACTTTTAAAATTTATAAAGATATTGTAGAACCCCCCAAAATCTATTAACCCTAGACTAATCCTGAGAAAGCATCAAATAAATCCAATGGAAGGATAGTCTGAGAAAAAACCTCACTACACCCATTCCTCACTTATCAACATGGTTAGGTTCCAAAAATCAGGTTACATGAAAACCTGCATTATGTGAAAATACCTGACTGACTTTCTTGCCTGCTGTCACTGCAGTCAGTGCTACCCAACGGGGGTAGCAGAACAGGATCATGCAGGCTACAGACTGCCTTGGGAAGTGGCTTCCAACTCTCCCCAATTCAAAGTGCTCTTCTGTTCCCTTTAACCTGCAATTACCACATCCTCCTCCTCTTCCTCCTCTCTGCCTGTACCTCCATGATCTCAACTCCAGCAATGAATTCTCCTCCCTTAGACCCCTTTCCCCTCCAGTATGCCTTCAGAATAGCCCAAACCACCTGTCCCTCCTGCACTTTAGCCAGCCAGTTCACTTTCTGCATGCCATAGCACCTAGAGTTAAGTTCTATCAGTTTCTTCAGGTGCACAGAGAATGCTTCCAGGGCCACCTCCTCACTGAAATGCCCACTACTCCTTTTTCCCCTGGAACTTTAGTGATTCCACTCACACACCTGGCTCCCGTAGCCTCCCTCTCCCCCTGTCGCCCTGATTTCAGACAACTTGCTCTGGATGTTACAGTCTCCTGTGTGGGCTCCCTTTCCCCCACTTCTGCACTCCAGCCCAAACCTCCCCCCACTCCTACACTGAGAGTCTGCCTCCCCCTTGTTTAGACACTGCTTCTGAAGCCCAAACCCCACCTTCTACCCAACAGACCAACCAATGGAGCCCATCTAAGGAGGTGGGTACCTCCAGTCCACCCCACCCAGTAGACCTACACTACCCTCAGCTAGACTTGTGACTGTGGTTACAGGGATCCTCTGTATCCCCAAGGCCCACTCAACCCGGATCTTCAGCCAACAGACCCTCCAGCTGCTTCTCCTGTACCCTATGGGGAAGCCCTATGCTACAGGGCCTGGTGCATTCAATTGTCTGGTTAGGGCTGAGCAGATTCACCCCTCCAAATGGTACTGCCCAAAGTTCACCCTCATTCTCACCCCCAACCTGGCTCCTTCTGCCCATTCTCCTGGAGGAGGGGCCTGGGCCCACTCCAGTACTGCTTCTTGTGTGGACAATTGCCTGCTGGGTAGATCTTTTTACCACTATAAAAATGTGAAGTGCTAGATAATGAGATAGTCACTAAGTGAGGAGTTGGTGGAGTGTCCTTCAAACAGTTATGACTATCAACAATAAGTAGTTACATAATGGATAAAGAGTAGCTACTGATGCTGTACAACTAAACACCTCATGGGATTTGGCTTCTTGAATTAGAGGTTTAGGGTAATGGTTTCATGGGACATCCCAGTAAAATAGCCTAAGAATGTGGTTAGTGCCTCTGGACCTTAAAAGCTTGCAAGTAGCCATTCGTCGAGTACAATAATTGATCTATATTTTTCTGGAGCAACAAAGGATTAAAGAGAATCAGGAATAGGAAAGAGATATAAAATGTGTGGCTAACTGACTTCAAGAACTGCCTCCTTTGCCCTGAGACCAGGATAGGGAGGTGTGTGGCTACCATCACTGAATTTTATTATCGAAGATTATATAGAAAAATCTTGAAGAAAATGTAGAAAAGAATCTCAAAATCTCATGGACTCTAAAACTGGACCCAAAGAGGATGGATGAACCCCTGAAACCACTGTCCTGAGATAATCT